AACATAAATCCTAGATCTACTCTGTTGAGGCGTTATTTCGGTATTTGAGGCTAGATTAGTTTTCGAGTTTGAGGTGAGTAAAAATACGGTAGTTTTGGTTTTGCAGGCCATAGTGGCGGTGGCCGGAGTGGTGCTCAGGGCGGTGGCAAATTCACCGATGGTGGTCGACTATAGGCCAGTGGGCTTTTGAATGGAGAGAGTTGAGAGAGATGAGAGTGTTTTTAAGGAAGTGTGGATAAAAAGAAATTCTTTGCGGGTTTTTTGGGCTATTTATAGGGAGGGTTTGAAATGTAATTAAAATTTCAAATTATTTATGCAGTCCTTATAATTCTGATGTGTAATATGTTTTAGTCACCTGTTGTAAATTTTCCCTTGAATTTTAAATTAATTCAATTTAATCCCGTTTATATTTCTTATATTTTTAAAATTGACCCCCTTAACTTTTATTTTTTCCTGGCAGCTTTCAGTTAACATCAATTTGACCCAAAATTTTAAATTCTTTCCACTTTAATCCCTTGTTAATATTTGTTTTCTTTTTATTTAATACCTTTTTTTATTTTATTTTATTTAACATTAATTTAACTTTTAGGGATATTTTAACTTGGTCAAAGATAAGTAATTCAGATCGAATATTTAAATTTTAATTTTAACTTTTAATTTTCGCAATTAAGATAACGTGAAATCAAATTGGTACCAAAGAGCAGTAGGGGTGTTATTCCTTCTGACTGTAATCGACTACTGAATCTGAAAAATTCCTGGTAAGTTGTAGATCACATAACAGTAATTATGGTATTTGATCGACCAAATTAAAATGATCGGTGGCGACTCCCAACTATCAAATCAAGTCAGAACCCGAATCTGGGACCATCAAAGAACGGTTACGACAAGTACATGCCCTCTAAAAACTCAGACGTACTCTGAATTGCAGCTCATCTGTAACGTGATATACGATAGGCTTCTTATCGATCCTTGTACTAACATACGCATGGAAACAATTCTGAATGTTGAGCTAACAAGCTTAGTGCCACACTAATAACTATGATATACTACATGCATTCATTTCGTGAACATGTTCGCAAGTGAATCATAGGCGTACGAAATACATACAAAACATGATGAGGTAGGCCGAGTGGTGTAGACGGAGGTATTTTCTGAATATAGGATGACACCCTAATCTACCTAGTATACCATCAGGTATTGGGGTAGATTCGAAATTTTCTGCGTTAGAAAGTACACCCAGCCAACTTACTTCGTCGAGTCTTAGGGAATCTGCACTCATCGGTGACTGAAGTGCCTTAGCACTAGCTGAGTTATATTTGAATATTTCTAATAAACATCATTCACTGCTAAAGTAACTCATGTGTCATGGCTGTTTCCCGAGAGTCATATAAAGGCTACTTTTATGTCATCCTAATTTACTCCATTTCTAGTTGTGCTTGAATTTATTTATGTTTTTTCACTTGTAATCTTATTTATAAAGTTCAAATGACCCTAAATCCTTTTACCCAATGCTTGAATAAAAATGGGTTTCTTACCCAAATCAGACGAGTGTACTGATACTCTTAATTGAAGTATTGGTACACTAGGGTATTGATACTACCCTAGTTTTGATACTAAATTTGGTTTCAATGTTTTGGAAAAATCACTTGAATAAAAATGGGTTTCTTACCCAAATCAGACGAGTGTACTGATACTCTTAATTGAAGTATTGGTACACTAGGGTATTGATACTACCCTTAGTTTTGATACTAAATTTGGTTTCAATGTTTTGGAAAAATCATGAGTATCGGTACCCTTGCTTAGGGTATCGATACCTTCACTATGGGTATCAATACTCTCTTGAGTACCGTACCAAAATTAGCTATTGAAATCCAAACTTTAAAATTGGTATCAACTCCTCTTTGAGTATCAATACCCTTGGTACAATATCGATACCATGTGGAGTGTATGGATACTCTCGGCCCTAAAATACCTTGTTTTGAACCCACTCGAAGAACAATATCTATATTGTTCATCTATTACCGATACCCAAACCCAGAAATTCCATATTTTGAGCATGAACATGTGCCTGAACACTACCCATTTGCCCTCCTAAAGCCATTAAGCATTATTTAAGTCTTATGAGAGTTATTAGGGGTTATAAGAAGTCATTTTTTCATGTTGATAATATCATACTTGAAAATCTACCATGAAATGCTCAAACATGCTTCATGAACTCAACTAACCAACATCGTACACCTAATGAGCTACAAGTGTATAGTTAACTTAGAAATGTGTTACCTTAGTGCTATGCTATTGGAAATCGTCCTTACTTACCCAAGAGCCAACTTCTATTTGCCCATGGTCTAGGAACTTTCTCCAACCTCTTTCACTAATCATAACAAGGAAAATAAATTATGAACCCCTTTAGAAACTTGAAATAAGGCTAAGGACATTTCCTAGAACTTAAATATATCAAAAATACTGAAAATCTAGTTTATTAAACCCCTGCTAAACCCCATTTTGGGTCACTCAACCTTCATTTCAAAAGATGGATTTTTCCCTATTAGTCCTTCCTCCTTTGCTCTAGGTTTAAAAATGTCTTTTTTATTACATGTTGGGTTCAAACCAAGCCCAACCAAACCCAAATGGATAAGCCTTCTCACAAACTATGGAAATTTTATTCTAAGGCCCACTCGGGATAGCCCAAGATTCCTAACCCGGACCTGGGGCATTACAGTTAGGTGTGTTTGAAAATTTGAAAGTTTTGGTACTAAAACGAACCAAAACTAATAATTTAGTACTAAACTCATAATTTACCCTTAATTTTTTAATGATGGGTGAGTAAAATGGAACCAAAACATAACTTTAAGTATGATTTAAAAAAATAATTAGTTACCAAAATGAAATCAAAATGAAATTCAATGAGTAAAGACATAGTTTACCCTTGATTTTTTTTTCACTTCAATGTTGTGCATTGACAACACAACTATTTGGGCATTGTGGCCTGTGGGCTTGACGTGGGTTTAATTCCAGTTGAACCTAAACAAAAGAAGCACGTAATTGGCCGGGAAGGAAGATGATAAAACTCAATCCAACTGACAGCTCCTTAGAGCTTAAAAAGTTATCCACTAAGCATTTTCCATATGATAACCATCACTATTTTGACAGTTAAATATACTGCTTTCCTCCCTCCCAAAAGCAGTTTTTATTATTTTTTTATTACTCTGAAGAACTGGAAAGGCACCAACATGCTCGTGCCCATCAACAACTTTGGCCACCCCTCTTTCACACTCACTTTTCCTTTTTCTTTTTCTTTTTCTTTTTAACACTTATATCCCAAGCTTTGCAACTCTTCCCTCCAATAATCAACAAAAATGGTGAAGGAAACTGAATACTATGATCTTCTTGGTGTCAGTCCATCTGCTTCCGAAGAGGAGATTCGAAAAGCTTATTATCTTAAGGTTCAGAATTCTGGGGTATATTTATTTATTTTGTTAGTCACGGTCTATTTTTCAATGGCTAGTTTTCACAAGGACATTGTTATGTTCTTATCATTGTACTATTACATGGTTTATTTCTCGAGTATCTCAATTCTCACAAAATAATAGATTCCTTATTTGTTTGTACTTAATTATCTTCTGCTGTGCTGCCTGTTGTATTTATCTCTTGATCTTCCATGATTATCATGCGTATGCCGTTCTCTCTTTTTCTCCTGTCTTGCTTTTTCCTCTCTTTTCAATATATTTCGAAGCTAGATCTTAATGGGATAGAACAAGTAATTTGCTAGTCCAAGTGCCATATGGAGGATTGGATGTTGAAGTCTATTGTAATTCTAATCAGGGTTTAAATTGAGATTGCGCTCTCGTTTTCAGTTGATTGAGGCAATAGCAGACGTCATTATGGGTATCATAGTAGCGTAATAACGGTTTAGACAACACCTTTGCCGCTATATAACAGCCGCTATTTCGATAGGAAACCGCTATTTATCTCGTTTTTATTGTTAGATGATGGTTGTACCTGATTTTAACTACACTATGGCATCTTATTATATATATATATTACTCAAATGAAATTTTCTTTACATTAACTATATAGTAGTCAAGAATATTATAGCTAGATGTTATGATTGGAACAGGCAAGGCAAGTTCATCCAGACAAAATCCAAATGATCCTCATGCTGCCGAGAGATTTCAGGTGCGTTTACTAATTTTGTTTCTAATTTATCTTCTCGAAACTTGGTTTTTCCTATATGCATTGTCAAGTTAGTGAAAGGGGTATTAGTACATTGACAATCTTCATTTCTCCAGTACTAGGTGAAGCTTATCAAGTTCTGAGTGATTCTGTTCAAAGAGATGCATACAACCGAAATGGGAAATACAGCATATCTAGGTATGATGTTCACATTCGGTGTTTGATCATACAGTTTTTGAGCTTGTTAGTTATGTTCACTGTGAAACGTTCACTATTTACAATTTGATAATTAGTTTTATGCTTAATTAGAAAGCTGACAACTAGCTCTGTAAGTCAACCAGTTGAATCCTAGACACCAGAAAATGCTTAACCCTAAGTATACTTATTTTATCCCTTTACTAACAGTTGCATAATCATGTTTAGAACTTCGTTTTTGCTTTTCTGTAACTTAAGTTAAACATTGGTTCATAATACCAGTAACATGACCTTGTAACTATATATACTTTTTGCTATTTTTTTGTTGAGCATCCAAATCGGTTCTATTCGTTATAGAGACTGTCCTAGTCTTCTAATTAGTCTTTTGGTTTTCAGGGACACCATGCTTGATCCAACAGCAGTCTTTTCTCTTCTATTTGGAAGTAAATTATTTGAGGACTACATAGGACATGTTGCTGTTGCATCAATGACTTCTTCAGAACTACCCAATGAAGCAGACAATCCTGAAAAACTGAATGATAAGTTGAAGGCAAGTACGCTCCTAAGTTAAACTAATCCCTTAACTTCCAATCTATAAAAGTGCGGTCAGTTCTTATCATACATCGAATCAGATGAATTTGTGTCTTCCTTCTTTGACATGGCCAAAACTGATTAAAGTATTCAGTGTTATAGAATAATCTGGTTCCTTTAGTTTCTTATAACAGATTTTCTATGATTCATGAAAGCAGTTTTGTTGTGCAACCTTGAATGCAGGCTATTCAAAAAGAAGAGAGGAAAAATTAGCACGGTCATTAAGAGATCTTCTTAACCAATATGTCCGAGGTGATAAAGATGGATTCTTGCAACATGCAGAATCGGAAGCCAGACGTCTGGCTAATACTGGTAAAATGAGTTACATAAGCATTTCTAGGTTCCTTTTTTTTTTTTTTTTTGCATATGTAGACATTACTGGTAATTGGAGACTTCTTCTGTTCCAACTAAGTGTGTTAGTAGCATGTATACATGTAGTGTATGAAAATTTATTTCGTTCGTAGCATTATTTGTGGAGGTAGCAATCAATCGGCATAAACCAGGGCGTACCTTGTCAGTGTGTCATAATCCTCTGGCAGACTACGGTTCAATGAATGTAACTCCAGAAGATTAACCCAACCTTCGGGTAGTTCTCTGGAGTAAATTTTGATCCAAGTAATCTCTATTGGATTGAATTTTGCAGCTTTCGGAGTTGATATACTACACACTATTGGCTATGTATACTCAAGACAGGCAGCACAAGAGCTTGGAAAGAAAGCAATTTATCTTGGTGTACCATTTTTGGCCGAGTGGGTTCGCCACAAGGGACATTTCTGGAAGTCACAGATTACTGCAGCAAAAGGCAAGTTATAAAATCTATAAGCACCCTTTCCGAGTTTCGTCCTTCAACTCTTGAAAAGTATCTGCCACTGACATGGTTAGAAATAACTCCAGGTGCTTTTCAGTTACTGCAACTTCAAGAAGATATGCGCAGACAATTCAAAATGGATGGCAGTGGCCCTGAAAATGATGTTGAATCACATTTAAGATTAAATAAAGAAACTTTGATGAACTCTTTATGGAAATTGAATGTCATGGATATTGAAGTAACCCTTGTACATGTGTGCCAAATGGTGAGTTTCTCTGTATCTTAGTCACTTTGGTACTTGGTTTGTATTGTAGAAATTCATTTAGTTGAATGTCTAAGGAAACTATAGGTTAGGAAAGGATCCTTGTTTCAATTGTACTTTTAAATTTACGGATTCTCTGATAGTTCAGTCGATCGGCTTACAGGTGCTGCGGGAAAATAATGTGAAGAAGGAGGAACTCAAAGCCAGAGCTCTGGCTCTGAAAATTCTTGGGAAGGTATTTCAGTATAATAGTCATTAAATGAGCACATTTAAATTTCGTCAATATGAGTCTAACTTGTTATTTGTTGCATTCTTTATGATTGTTGAAGCTAAGGAACAGATGAAACTAGTAGTATAGTTATATATAGGCCCATGAGTTGCATATGCCGTACTGCAGACAAGAAAAAAATCATATTTTATGCTGTACAGTAAGCTAAATGAACTCAAAATGAACTAATGAAGTGCTTCATTAGTTTAAATGAAAAATAGGAAGAAATCAAAGGATATTTATGCTATGGAACATAGTTTCACCAGGAACAAGAAGCTCAAAATGGTGGTACATCACGGAGGAAAAAGGTTGCTGAAATAGATGATGATGATGGAAGCAGTTCCGAGAGCAGCAGTGAAGACAAGTCGCCAAGAACACTTTCGTATCGAACTCCTTTTCTCACTCAGGCATGTTAGAAATTCTTCAGGCCTAATATGCATAAATCGCGTACGAGATTTTATTTAATTATGAAACAGATGCATGATAATTGCACATGATACATAAGTAAAACTGCATGCATGATAACAGCATATGAACTCCATATTTATGAGTTGTGGATTCTGTGATAGGGTATTGGGAGACTCTTCAGATGCCTGTGTAACCCAGCCTTTGATGTGATGATGATGAATTGTGTTCAAAAGCAATGATTGCAGGAGACATGTAAATTAGCATTATTGAACATTGGCACTCAAAAAATGTCCCTTTTCTTGCAATACAAAAACTTTGTTCATGACTGATGGTTTATTTCATGCCTCAAAACATCAATACACTCAGCTCACAAATTTACATACCTTATTTTTCCTAAAACTACAAAGGTATGCCAGTCAAGCGCATTTCATCATATCATAGGATGGTGCTTGGGGGCTAGATGAACATCTACAAGAGATGAGATAAAAGCTATTGATTTTTATAATTAAAAATTTGAAAAAACCTTAGAATCAGAAATGGACTTATTCAGTGAAATATTACTTAAAATTTCATTAGGAAATGACCATGGGCAGGAATCATTTAGGGATGTGTAGCTTCTATAGTACTTGTGGTAAACGTCGTGCGATACTAGCAACTTCCATTAATTTTTTTATTCAAACTGTGATTAAGGTTGTTCACTTTCATTGAATTTTTTCTTTAAAAACTTGACCAAAGTCGTCATCTTATTACAGCGACTTCTATGAATTTTTTTTTATTTTCATAAATCAAGTCATTAATTTTCAAGTTCCAACCTTAAACTCATCATTTTATTTATTATATAGTCAACTTTAATATAAATTTCATTTTTTCTTATATTTTTAATTTCCCTTTACTTTGATCCTAAAAATTATAAAAATTAAAGCAAAGTCCCTGAAGGATGAGGATAAATTTGACAACATCATTGACAGTTACTAGCGACTTTGTTCTATTTTTTTTATTTTAATTTTTTTTTTGAAATTTTAGAACCAAATTGCAAGAAATAAGTAAAGGACTAAATAGGAATTCAGAACATAATTGATAGTTGAACCTACTTCATAAACATTTCCTTACCTCTAAGGAAGAAACTATTTACTCCTACTATTCGATTTTTTACTCTGTTTGATATCTCCTTAAATGCCCCCCCCCCCCCATCTAAAGTAATGATCGTGAGATAATTTTAGGTTTGTCGACGTTAGAGTTTAACCAAAAAAAAAGTTGATTCAAACTGATTGAAAAAAGTAAAAACTTAGTTGGATTAAAAGTAGAAAGTTATTTTTACGTTGAAATCTTTACATAAAGCCCTGGGAACTCGACTTAATTTAAGTAGCATTTTTCATCCTGAGACGAATGGACAACGAAGTGAACTATTCAAATTCTAGAAGATATGTTAAGGCATGTGTAATTGAATTTAAATGTTTGTAGGGAAAGTATTACCTTTTAGCAGAGTTGGCTTATAACAACAATTCAAGCAAGTATCAATGGCTGCTTATGAAGCCTTATATGGAGAAAGTGCGAACTTTTATCAAGATGGCTGCTTATGAAGCCTTATATGGAGAAAGTGTCGAACTTTTTTGAATTTGTACGAGTTTAAGGATCGAGACATCGTCGGCCCTGATATGATCAAGGAAGTTGAATATAAGGTAAAGATTATTCAAGATAATCTTAAGATTGTTGTTGATCGACAAATCGTACTCGGACTTGAAAGAAAAAGATAAGAGTATCAAGTTGGTGGTGATAAGTATTTCTCAAAGTATCACCTTGGAAAAAGGTACTATGACTTGGACGAAAAGGAAACTGAGCCCAAGATTTATTGGTGCTCATAAAATCGTGAAAAGAGTCAGTCCGGTGGCCTATCAACTAACGCTACCTTTGGAAATGGATAAGATTCATAATATATTTCATATATCGATACTTTGAAGATATCGTTTAGATCTTTTACATGTTATTGTATTGTAAAATATGAAGATTCAATCGGATTTGACATACGAAGAAGAATTGGTAAAGATATTAGAGTATGGAGTCAAAGAAATAAGGAATAAGATCATACCTCGTATTAAAGTACTTTGGAGAAATCATAAAATCGCAGAAGCTATTTGGGAAACAGAAGAAGAAATGAAAAGGTTGTATCCTCATCTATTTAAATCAAGTATGTACTGAATATTCAAGGAAAATTTTTCTTCACGGGTAGAATTGTAATAACCCAAAATTTTGGCTAGTGACGAAAATGAATAAATTGAAAGTTTAGTGGTCAAAATATAAATTAGAAAAAGTTTAGGGACTAAATTGTAATTTTTAAAATTTATGTATTTTAGTTCAGTAAATGAATATTTTATCTCGAGAATGGTATTTTTCTGATGCTCAGATTTTGAAAACGGAGTTTGTATTAAAAGCTATAAAGTATAAAGTTTAAGAAAAATTCTAATAATCGGATCGAATCAAATTTTTGAGATATTTTGAATGATGATAAGGGAAAGTTATTAATGTCATTTACATGCCTTAAAATTGTAGGATTTAATATGAATCATTGGATTTAAGTTGATTTTCCATGTTAAATTAGGATCGTTTGATGAAAAATGGCAGGATTGTAATTTTAGAAAAGTAGAAGGGAAAATTGGAAATTAACAATTTTTTGGTTAATATTTGACCTTTGGATGAATAAAAAGGACATGTGGATTGGTAATAAACATGAGATTATAAGGATTATTTAGTCATTTGACATTAAATAAATTTTTAATTCATTTTAGCTTTTAAAACATGACAAATGGCCAGCATTAAAAAGGAAAAAAAAGTTTCAAGAACTCTCCCAAAGTTTGCTGCTGCCGTGGGTTATTTGGAGCATTGGTATATTTTTAAATTTCATTTTTAAGATTTTTAAGTTGGATTTAAGGTTTAGACATGAAATCCAATTTTATTCTCCATTAAATTCTCTATAACTTGGTACTGTTTTTTTCATGGTTTTGATTAGTATATGTTGGATTATGAAAGGTTTGATGTTGTTTTATTATTTATATATTTGATTGAAGTTGAAAATCAATTGTTAAAGCTATAGGAACCTATTTGGCTATTATGGAAAAGTTTAGAGTTTTATATAGAATTTGGAAATTCGTATTGAATTTGATGTGATTAATTATAATTGCATGGAAATAATGTTTGGAAGTTGAATTCATGCCTGAATTAAGTTGAAAATAATGTCTAAAGTGACTCTTGGTATTCGGCCTAAGGGAAATAAATAGGAAAAAAATTGTGAAAAAATATTTTATGGTTAGAATTATGAATAGATGATCTACAAGCCTTAAATGTTGTTTGGACTGATTTGAAAGTTTATTAAGGTTAGGGGAACAAACCACAAATAATAAGAAATATGGTTTTGAAATGGAAATTGATTACAAGTTGATGTGTAATATTTAAATGTATTTTTGGAATGTTTGAATGTGTTGTTGGAAGTTAATAATTTATATTTTAATCCTGAATAGTAATTTGGGTTAAATTATTATTCTAGTACCTCTATTTTATGATATTTATGTTTAGGGCTATTACTTTAGAGACTTTATAATTTAATCTCGAATTTAATTTTAAATAATTTTTTGGTTTATTTACAATTGTAGTACCTAATATATTAAGTATTTACAATTATTGCCTTGATCTTTAATAATTTGATATTTTAATCACTAAATCCTTTAGTCATATATTTATTATATTATATATAATTTAGGGAATATTATTTTTTGAGTAATCTATAAAATATCTCCTTAAATGGCTAGAATGATATTTTCAAGATTATTTGTATAAAATAATATCCCTTTTATTTTTCTAAAAATTTATATCATATTTTCAATATTATTCGAATTTGCCAATTTCAATAAATTAGATGACATATAATTATGTAAGTACCAATTTTTTGGAGTTGTGGGGGCGCTAATCATTCCCCACACGTATCCGATTCTCGAACCCATTTTCAAATTGAATTTCTGATCAACATATCAATTTTTTTATCTTTTAAAATTTTTTTCTTAAAATTATTTTAAAAGGTATTTTTAGGTATTCAGATTACCTAACCTAAAAGGTGATGGCGACTCTAAATTTTTCTATTTTATAACTGAATATGTCCTAATATTAAGTCGGATTGGTTCCCGAAAAAGTTCTAAAAAGCTGGCGGGGACCGTTTCGACAGTTTGTCGACTCTACTAGGGACCATTTTTTTAAAGAGAGTCAAACTATAATCGATTATACGTCATTTTTAGTTGAAATAGCAATATGAATGATATTTAAATTTGATAATTAATCATTGTTTAGTTATACTAATTTGATTAGTTTTTTGTGTTTTAGATTTCTAACACTATTTGGGTTGATTGTTCTGCGATCGAGGTAAAGGATTATGAGTTCCCCTCACATACTATAGTTGTTTGAATTTGAGAGCCTTCTAACTGTTCTCTCTCCCATTAGGTAGGGGTGAACACTACCCTTACGTGATAAAATTATTTTTCTCCGCATGGGCTTTAGTAAGTAACCTCTAGGATACATATGCCTTATGTTTACGAGTGAAACATCGAGTTTCCTCGCATGAACATGGGGAAATGAATCCTATCAAATTGAACTCAATCCATTTAAGCCTATAATGGGTGAGGATCGAGGGTCTGGTAGGCTCAAGGGGGCACCAGCAAAGGATAATTCGAGTACCCTGTTAGTAGTACCCAATTTCTTTCTGTTTTATACTAAATTTCTATCTGTAGGGGAAATTCATTTTAACCTTTTCATCGAATTTATTTAATTGTTTTGCGAAAACATGAGAACTAGAAAATTATACAATTAGGTTTATATATATATATATGCGAAGCATGCGAACTAGAAAGCATGAGATTAGGATTTATATGTTGAACGGAGCATGGCAAGGTAGATACCATGATGGATAGGATCTTTTTTTCCATTAATTAGTATTAACCATTCCTTTAGACTTATTTTCTCTGTCTTTTATTCTGTATTTACATTTTCTTTTGCAATATATTATTAATTTTGTTATTTGTACTAACTTGTGTTTTTATGTTGCTTTCTTTTTGCTTGCATTGCATGATCATGACATAATCAAAAGGTGTTGATTTGAGAGCGGTCATCAAAGTAAAAGGTTTTCATAATGGACAAAGGGTTTTATGATCAAGTAAACTATAACAAAGCTAGGCAATGGCATCCTGAGGAAACTCCGAGG